TATATTTCTCTTGTAAAATTAAAATTAAAATGATAATATTTACTGTTTGATTAATGCATTATAAGGCAAAATGAAACCCCTATTTATGCATTATTATGAAATTTACCTTTTTTTATTTTCAAATAATTTAGTATGTAATTCTTAAATGGTTAAATGCATAGCTTGATTAATGTATGAGGTAGCATTTTATCTCATTAACAATGGTTTGGAGACAAAAAATGAAAAAAAAAAAATTTGGGGGGTGGGGAGAGGGGTTGAACAAGCAAGGGTACATTTCAATCCAATCTCATTCTTTGAATCTTGGGATATGATTGATACACTTAGTTCAACACTCTTTTTGACACTCATCTAATTCAACTATTAATATATAATATAAGTACAACTCAATTAAGCAATTCCTTAATTTTATATGCATGGTTATATTTTTAAGTTTGTTTACATTTAATTTCACATAAAAAAAACAATGATTTTTAGTTAATATGCTATACAATGTGTTAAACCAAAATGTATACAAATTAATGTCCTTAAATCTTATCCAGTCTAATCTCATCCCAATCCCATACTCCAAACTTACCCTAGGGACTATAAATTTGAAATTACAAGTTAAAGAATTTCATCTTAATAATCTCTTCATTTTTCCTTAAAAATATGTTTCCTAAATTCTTAATTTAAATCATCAAGCACTTTGTTAGGTGCTTCTCCTTCTACATTCTATTTGTTAAATAACGATTTTAGAATTGAAAATTAAAAATTTTGAAAAATTAGAAGGCTTAAATTTTTTTTATTTATCTGATTTTCAACTAAGTACTCCATAAATTATTAATTAGTAATTTAAACCACAAAGTTTGATTTTGACCAAAAAAAAAAAATGAATTCACAAAGCATTTTAGCTTCCACTTATACAAGATTTCCATTTGTTGTTGTAACGGATTATTCCAATAAAAAATCATAAATAGAAATTCAATACAAGATTTTTGTTAGAATTTATTTGAATTAAAATTTGACCATTGTTTCAAATTATAAATTTTGGTAGTGGCACGTTGAATACAGAAGTATTGTGTACTTTAACAATATATCTTCGAGGAAAGGCTCAAATGAGAAACTTATTAACCTTAAAAGAGCTAATGGATGGTGAGTCATGCACGTCCGGTTCTTCACCCACCGTCATACACTAAATAAAAAATTAATATTTTACAGTTTTGAAATTAGATAGGAACAGCTTAAACCGGTTGCGATTCAAACTACATTAGTTTATTTGTGTTTCCAAACATATTAATTGTAGCAGTTGAGCTGAAGATCTCCAAATTTTGTTTTGCTTAGCTTCCCTATCTTGTTCCACTTTGATTAGTCGCCCTCACCTAGACTCCACTTTGATTCAGCAGAAAGATGTTTAGGATAAAATAAATGCTTGGCTGGGAGGGAGGGATGAGGATTGGTACAGTAACTTGAAAGGTAAGACCTCTTTTCTTTCAGTTTTTGGGCATCCAATGAGTTTATTGCCTTAGAAAGATACAGACACGAAGTATCTATTGAAAGCATTTCAATGTCATTTCTCTTTAAACAACAATAAATAAAATTTTAATCATAAGAAAGAATATCAACCTCTCTTGCAAAATCCATATTATCTTTGCTAATTGAAACTGGCACCCAATTTGGCATAAGATGCATACCAAGTAGAATGACTTCAGCTGCCAATTCTTGCTTATTCAAAGAACAATCGATAGAAAAGCAACCACCAAATGAGACCACCTTGTTAGTAGCCTTTGCATTAGATGCAAACATTGAACAATGGAGTTGAGAAGTTGAAGTCAAGCACACGGAATCAACTAAATCACCTCCGGTGATGGAGAGTTACAAATAGGGCGATTCCACAAAGGGAGAAGGGTGGCGGTGGTGGCCCTTGGGGTCAATTAGTGATATCGAAATAAGGGCAAAAGAGAGGGATGAAGGATGATCTCAAGAGGGAAAAGGGTAAGAGGAAGAGATGAAGAGTGCCTAGACTTGGGGCAATTTCCCCAATTTGAATGGAATTTAGACAAGCGAGGGATAGGCCAACTCGCAAGAAAAAAAAAAAAAAAAGGAAGGTTTTTTTAGGTGGACCAGCAGTGTGTGTTTAGGTGCGTGGGTTCGCTAGTGTGCATGTATCATTTTCCAAGTGAGTTAATATATATACACACACAATTAACTCAATCAAAACTTTTCTTAAAATAATTTCTATATAAAAACTACTACAAAAATAATAGGACAATATAGAAAAAGGGTCTCGTGCAATGCACAGGTTTTTAAAACTAGTATAATATATATGTATATGTACATATATAAAGTTAATTAATTTTGAGAAAAATGATACTCTATTTAACTTGAGGAAAATGGA